GAACGTAATACTAGAGGAGTTAAACCAGACTTTCGTAAGATGGCTGGTTTATGTCATCTTGCATGTTATGTGTCTAAGTTGGAACCTAGAAATGCTAAAGAGGCTCTGTGTGATGATTTTTGGGTTCAGGCTATGCATGAAGAACTTGAACAGTTTGTGAGAAATGATGTGTGGGAACTTGTCCCTAGACCTTCTGATTCAAACGTCATTGGAACAAAATGGATCTTTAAAAATAAGACGGATGAATCAGGAGAGATTACTAGGAATAAGGCCCGTCTTGTGGCTCAGGGGTACACCCAAGAGGAGGGTGTTGACTTTGACTTTTGCCCCTGTAGCTCGGCTGGAGTCTGTTAAGATGTTCTTGTCTATTGCTTGTTTACTTGGCTTTGTGATTTATCAAATGGATGTAAAATCAGCATTTCTGAATGGTTTTTTGAAAGAAGTTGCTTATGTTAAACAACCTGAAGGATTTGTAGATCCACATCACCCTGACCATGTGTACAGGTTAAAGAAGGCGTTGTACGGACTTAAACAGGCTCCTCGTGCCTGGTACGAACGCTTAACTCAATTCTTGGTCAAAATGGGATATTCTCGAGGGGGAGTTGATAAAACTCTTTTTGTTAAAAAATCTAAAAAAGATATTATCATTGTACAAATTTATGTAGATGATATTATCTTTGGTTCTACCTCGAGAACTTGGGTGAATGATTTTGTTACTCACATGTCTAAGGAGTTTGAGATGAGTATGGTTGGAGAAATGTCCTATTTCTTAGGGTTGCAAGTTAAACAATCTAAGGAGGGGATATTTCTTCATCAGACCAAATATGCCAAGAATCTGGTAAGAAAATTTGGCCTTGAAAATTCTAAGTACCCAGCAACTCCTATGGGGAGTCACTCTAAGCTTTCCAAGGATGATGCTGGAACTTCTGTTGATTCTACGCTTTATAGAAGCATGATCGGTAGTTTGCTTTACTTAACTGCCAGTAGACCTGATCTGTGTTTTAGTGTAGGGATGTGCGCTCGGTACCAGGCCAATCCTAAGGAATCTCACTTGAAGGCAGTGAAGCACATCATCAAATATGTGCATGGTACATCTGACTTGGGTATTTGGTACTCACGAGACACGTCTTCTAATCTTGCAGGTTATTGTGATGCAGATTGGGCTGGGAACGTCGATGATCGACGCAGTACCTCTGGTGGTTGCTTCTACATTGGCAATAATCTCATCTCCTGACTTAGTAAGAAGCAAAACTGCGTAGCACTCTCGACAGCTGAAGCTGAATACATATCTGCTGGTAGTTGCTGTTCACAACTCATGTGGATGAAGCAGATGGTGATTGAGTTTGGACTAGAGGTAAGAACCGTGAACCTCTTTTGTGACAATACTAGTGCCATTAATATCTCTAAGAATCCGGTTCAGCACTCTAGGACTAAACACATCGATATACGCTATCACTTTATTAGAGACTTAGTTGAGAATGATGTGATTGTGCTTGAGCATATTTCTACACAAAACCAGTTAGCTGACATCTTCACTAAGGCTCTGGATTCTCAAAGATTCATTTCTCTAAGGAAATCCTTAGGGATTTGTTCATTCTGAGTGCTTGTGTGTCTTTGCATTATATTATATTGTATTGTATATTA